TTAAGCCAGACCTACACCTGAAGTACAGTAAATGCTAGATCTATCAGCAATGACCAATCTGGGCCCAGTGTCCTCACAGAAAGGCTAAATAGAGTGGTCATAAGGACTTTAAACTAGTAAGTGGGAGAGAAGGCTCAGGGAAGTCAATACAGTTTCAAAATCAAGTATCAGGAGAGAGAGTAAATAAACAGTCACGAATCCTAAAAAAAAGCAAAAGAACTGCAGATGCTGTAAATCGGGAATAAAAACAGAAATCACTGGAAGTTCAGCAGGTCTGGCAGCATCTGTGAAAAAAAAACCAGAGTTAACGTTTCTGGTCCGGCGACCCTTCTTCAGAATTCTAATGGAATGCTGGCCTTTATATCTAGATGACTGGCGTACAGGATGCAGAAGTTATGTGGCAGTTATACACAGTCCCTGGTTAGACCCCACTGGGAGCACTGTGAGCAGATCTGGTCACCATATCTTAGGAAGTATAGATTGGCCTTGGAGGGAGTACAATATAGGTTTACAAGAATGATACTTGGAATTCAGGGGTTAGGTTACAAGACTAGGGGACATATTTTTATTTTTAAGGTGAGAGGAGAAAGATTTTTAAAAAACATGAGGGGCATTCTTTTTCACAGAGAGTGGTTCATGTGTGGAATGAACTTCCAGAGGAAGTGATGGATGTGGGTACAGTTATAATGTTTAAAGGTCATTTAGATAAGTACATGAATAATAAATGTTTGGAGGGAAATGGGCCAAGTGCAAAGCAGATGGAACTAGTTTAGATTGGGATTATGGTTGACATGGACTAGTTGGACCGAAGGGTCTGTTTCTGTGCTGTAAGACTCTATGACTCTATGAGAGAATACACAAATTAGATTTGTTTTGTAATTTAAAAAGTTAAGGAGTGATTTGATCAATGGGTTCAAGATATTATCAGAAAAAGACAGAGTAGATAAAGATAAACTATTCCCATTGGTTGAGGATTCTTGAACTGGGGGCGTAGTGTGAGAATTAGGGCCAGACTGTTCGGGAGAGATGTTAGGAAGCACTTTGATATATAAAGGGTGGAAGAGATTTAGAATTCTCTTCCACAAATGGCAGGGAACGCTGGATTTATTGTAATGCTTAATAAAAACCAAAAAGAACTGCAGATACTGTAAATCAGGAACAAAAACAAAGTTGCTGGAAAAGCTCAGCAGGTCTGGCAGCATCTGTGGAGGAGAAAACAGAGTTAACGTTTCGGGTCCGGTGACCCTGCCTCAGAACCCGAAACGTTAACTCTGTTTTCTCCTCCACAGATGCTGCCAGACCTGCTGAGCTTTTCCAGCAACTTTGTTTTTGTTATTGTAATGCTTGTTAATTTTAAATCTGAGACAGATAATTTTTTGTTAAACTAAAATATTAAGGGATTTGGGCCAAAAGCAGGTATATGGAGTTAAGCCACAGATCATCCATGGTCTCATTGAATGGTGGAACAGGCTCGAGGGGCTGAATGGCCTATTCCTGTTCCTACATTCTGATGTTTCTCTGACACAGTCTACAGTTTGGAGCTGATACTTGACCATGTTTGTATGGGAAAAAGTGATTTAATGTTTATTCAGCTTGAAGTAAATTACAAAATCTGCAGCAATGTTCAGTAAAAAGCTGATTACCTTGTTGCAGTTGAAGTTCTAGAAATAATCAGCCTGGTGGGCAGCTTGAATGTGCTATTAGAAACCAAGCGTATTTTATGAAGTTTTTATTCACTGTATAGGATGTGCAGAGAGGCCTGCGCTGAGCTGTAGGATGTATAGTTGTGAGATCAGTAGAGAGCTTGGAGGGTCAATTAGCTCATAGCTAATGGAAAGACCCTGTTGAATTCTTATATCTTCGCTTGAACCTTGAAGAGAAATCAGAATGCATTCCGGAGATCAGGCATATACCTTCTGACTTTGTCCCATGAAAAGTGGAAGAGCCTTCAGGATTTCATCAGAGAAAAGAACTCTTGGAGGGGAAGCGAAGGGTACAACTGTGATGAAAGCTTCAGTCTTTGATGAGGTACAGTGTTAGTGAATTGTGCTTATTTTGTTTAATTCTTTTTGATATACAATAAAGTTTTTTTGTTTGAAAATGCAAAATCCCATGACATAGTTGTGTGAGTTAATTGCTCGTTGCTCGGATTTCTTATTTAAATGTGAGCCATCTCTAACAGGATTCTAACACCTAAGAATACAGGGAACAAGAGGAAAACACACTTCCCCTTGAACTAACTCCACTAGCCTTAGAAAGAAGTAAATCACTGATTAAAGGAAAACAAAGAATTGTGGATGCTGGAAATCAGAAACAAAAACAGAAGTTGCTGGAAAAGCTCAGCAGGTCTGGCAGCATCTGGGGAGAGACAAAGCAGAGGTAACATTTCGAGTCCTGTGACCATTCTTCAGAACTGGCAAGGTTCTGAAATCACAATAAGTTTGTACAAAATAAACTCTTATCTTCCTGTTGGGCTCTTTATCAATGACCTTACAGTCATAGAGTCATAATGGATAGGAACAGGCCCTTTGGCCCATTATGTCTACGCCAACCAATAAAAATCAATCTGCACTAATCCCATTTACCTGCCCTTGGTCCATAGTCTAGTCTGCTCTGGCATTTTAAGAGCTATCCAGATGCTTTTTAAATGTTGAGTGTGTCTGCCTCCACCACCCTCTCAGGCATGTTCCATTTATCAAACATCCTCTGGTGAAAACATTTTTTCTCAGACTCATCTAAATGGTCTTAGGCACATCTGCCACGGGAAGAGATTCTCTCAGTCTACCCTGTCTATGCCTCTCTTAGTAGACCTCAAACAGATCCCCTCTCAGCCTCCTCTGCTCCAGGAAAACAAACCCAGCCTATCTAGTCTCTCCTCGTAACTGAGCCTTTTTATCCCAGGCAGCATCCTGGTGTATCTCCTCTGCACCCTCTCCAGTGCAATTACATTCTTCCAATAGTGTGGTGACCAGAACTGCACATGTATTCCATCTGTGGCCAAACCAATGTTTTATAAAGTTATAACAAGACTTCCTTGCTCCTATATGCCATGCCCCAGCTAATAAAGGCAAACATCCCTTATGCCTTCTTCACTGCCCGATCTACCTGTGCTGACACCTTCAGGGAACTATGGACTTGCACACTAAGGTCCCTTTATTGCTCAATATTCTCTAGGGACTTACCATTCATTGTGTAAATCCTTCCCTTATTAGACTTTCCAAAATGCATCATCTCACACTTAACATGATTCAATTCCATCTGCCATTGCTCTGACCAATTTACCAGCTGATCAATATCAGACTGTAGCCTGAGACCATCCTCCTCAATATGAATACCACTACCAATTTGTGTCATCAGCAAACTAACCAATTAAAGCTTCTACATTCACCATCCAAGCCATTAATGTACATAACAAACAGCAAGGGTCCCACCAATGATCCTTGTGGCACACCGCTGGTCACAGGTTTCCAATTACAAAATCATCCCTCCTCCACCATCACCCTTGTGCCTCCTGTTTGTAAACCAGTTTCGGATCCAGTTTACCACCTTGTCTTGGATCCCATGGGCTCTTACCTTTTGGACCAGCCTTCCATGTGGGACCTTGTCAAAGGCCTTACTGAAGCCCATGTAAACCACATCAAGTACAATACCTTCATCAACATATTTAGTCACTTTTTGAAAAAAACACTACTAAATCAGTCAGACAACATCTCCCTCTAAAAAATCCATGCTGAATATTCCTGATTGATCCTTGCCTTTCCAAGTGTTGATTATTCCTGACTTTCAGAATTTTTCCAAGAATTTCCCTACCATTGACACCAGACTAACTGGTCTGTAATTCCCTGGCCTATCCCTGCTGCCCTTCTTGAACATAGGAACCGCATTAGCCATCCTCCAGTCATCTGGCACTTCACCTGTGCCCAGTGAAATATTAACTATCTCCATTAGGACCCCTGCAATCTCCTCCCTTGTCTCCAATGGCACCCTCATCAGACTCTGGAGATTTATGTATCTTTTTACCCTCGAAAACATCTATTAATCTTAACATGTTCTAGAACCTCCCCATCTCAACTGAAATCTCTGGCTACAATGGCTTTCTTGTCTGTGAAAACAGAAGAGAAATATTCATTTAGGACAACACTCAGATCCTTATATATTGCTCCTTTGGTCTCTAATAGGTCTCACTCTTTCTTTAATAATCCTCTCACTCTGATATTATTTATAAAAAGCCTTGGGGTTTTCCTTGATCCCATCTTCCAATCTTTGATCTGTACCTGTTGGTTACAGGAAACAGTTTCACTGTGTGAAACCCCCTCACCATTTTAAAGCCTGTTATTATGGTAAGTGATTAAATCTCCCTCATGATTTCTCTGGGGAGGCAATGGCATGGGATATAATGTAATGTCTGAAAAGGCAGCGGAAGCAGACTTTAGATCACGCAATAAAAGAATGAAGAAGCACCAAAGGAGGCCATTCAGATCATTTACTTCCCCCTATTTGCAGCAAAGAGCAGGAAATGGGGGCCAAATGTATCGTTCTTACAAAGTGTCAAAATATATGATGGGCTGAATGACATCCTTTGGTGCTGTATTATTCTATCTTTGTGTATGTGATTGTCATGCCTAGATACACATGGAACCAGGGCACCAAGGCTCTTTCAAAAGCAGCTCCCAAGTCCTTGACCTCCACCATTAGAGGGTCAAGAAACTCATGCAGGGAAACACCACCCCCTGCAAGTTCCCCTCCAAGCCAATCACTATCCTGACTTGGGAAGGTATTGCTGTTCCTTCACTGCCACTGGGTCAAAATCTTGGAATTCTCTCCCTAAGGACATTGTGGGTGGCCCCACACCTCAAGGACTGCAGAGCTCAAGAAACCATCTCACCACCAACCTTGTCAAGGGCAACTAGGGATGGGCTATAAACATTAGTGAAGCAGTGACACCCACATTCCATAAATGAATAAGAAAGAGGAACTGACCTCATGATTGGATCACTCACCTCAGGACACGCATTCCAACCTCTGATCAGGAGAGATGAGATGGGTTTGGGAACGGAGTACCCAATGGGAGGACGGACATGATGGTAGGCCATATCAGCAGCAGCAGCGGCTGGTCAAACAAGAACAACAATGTCAATGGAGCCAAACCTTGACTTAGTTCTCTCAGATATGGACCATTTGGTTAAGAAGAAAGAAGGTCATTTATTATGAAAGACAGTCTTTGTGTTTCTCTCACATCTATCACAACTTTGGAATAACTTCTTGAAGGGTAGTCACTGCTATAATGAGGCAACCGATTTACACAGAGTGCAATCCCACACTGTTATCTGCTCCTCTGCCTCCCTGCTGTCTGTTGCAATTTCACTCCAAAACCTACACGAAAGGGTGGCCATGGGGTAACGGGAATGTCACCGGATCGACAGCCCATAACTCACAGGCTCACGGCAAATAGTGGGATTCAATAAAACATCTGGAATATAAAGGGAATCTAACAGTGACCTTGTAACCTCTGTCAATCATCATTAAAAACCCATCTGGTTCACTAACATCCTTCAGAGAGGGAAATCTGCCATCTTTACCTGGTCTGGCCTACATGTCAGTACAGGCCAATGTGGTTGACTCTTATCTGCCCTCTGGGCAATTCTGAAGATTCACAACATTCCAAGTTGAAGAAATGTCTCTTGGGCTCAGTCTGAAATGATCACTCCCTTATCCTGAGACTGTGAACTTGTGTTCTAGATTCCCCGGCCAAGAGCAACCAGCTCCCAGCATACCTGCCAAGTTCGGGAGATTTCTGTACGTGTCAATGTGATCACTTCTTGCTTTTCCAAACTCAAATATAGACCTAGTCTCCTCGGTCTCTCCTCACAGGACACCTCAGCCAGCTCAGGAACCAGTCCAGTCTGTATTTCTGGCAGTCCACCCTGGGTGAGGAGGTCAGACTGTGCACAGTGATACCGCTCTGCTCTCAGCAATTTCCTGTACAGCTGGAATAAGGGAGCATCAATCTTTACTCTCACGGTGGTCATGTGGTAAGGTCCCCATGTTAGTAACTCAGAGGCTCAGGCTAATGTTCTAGGAATGTGGGTTCAAATCCCATCACTGTAGCTGGTGGGATTTCAATTCAATCTATAACAACCTCCAATGGAAAGTTAATATTGATTGTTGCTGAAGCTAAATTGCTCTGCTGCTGCTCAGAAAACAAAATCTGCTGTCCTTACCCAGTCTGGCTACATGGAACTCTACACCTAAAGCAATGTGCTTGGCTCTGAAATAGCCCTTACAAGTACAACAGCAATTAGGGATGGGTGATAAATACTGGCTGAGCCAGTGCTGCCTACATCCCTAGAATAAATGTTTAAAAATGACTTCCTTCATCCAGTTTTTACTATTCCAGTGTTGGGTCAAACTCACCGGGTTTGAGATGGGCAAAGGGAATTTCTCCAGTCAGCAGCTCCCAGAGACACAGGGCATAACTGAAGACGTCTGCTTTGATGGTGTAGCGGGTACACTGCGTGAATACTTCAGGGGCCATCCAGCGCAGGTTCTGCTGGGCACACATGCACACACACACACACGCACACACATCACGTACACACACACACACACATCACGTATATACACGCACACACACACACACACACATCACGTGTACACACACACACCCACACACACACACCATGTACACACACACACATATCACGTACACACACACACACACATGCACACACACACACATCACGTACACACACACACACATCACGTACACACACACACACACACATCACGTACACACACACACATCACATACACACACACATCACGTACACACACACACACACATCACGTACACACACACACACATCACGTACACACACACACACCACGTACACACACACACACATCACATACACACACACACACATCACATACACACACACATCACGTACACACACACACATCATGTACACACACACACACATCACGTACACACACACACACATCACGTGCACACACACATCACGTACACACACACACACACCACGTACACACAAACACACACACACACATCACGTACACACAAACACACACACAACACGTGTACACACACACACATCATGTACACACACACACACACATATCACGTGTACACACACACATCACGTACACACACACACACACCATGTACACACAAACACACACACACACACCACGTACACACAAACACACACACACACCACGTACACACAAACACACACACATCACGTGTACACACACACAAACACACACACAAACAATCAGTGAGGGCTCATTAAAGATAAAACAGCAACAGATTTAACACAAAACCTCCTTCATCTGAATCCCCTACATGATCAAACAGGTTTTTAAGAGTTAATAAATGAAAGTGTCAATTCTGTTAAAACAACACTGATATCCTCTCAATGCACCTAAGGTTTTACTCCACGTTTGTATATCGAGCAGAGCCCAAGAGATCAATCTTAAATTCCTCAAGAATTCAGGCTCATTCTGTGATGGTTCGCCAACCCTCAATGATCTATAAACAAAGAATGTAGATGGGGCTAATGAAAACTGACCAACTGCATTAGCATGTTCCAGAGTTTCAGCAGCTGATGGTCCAGCTTCCAACAATGAAAATCAGAGACCATAACAGGGAGGGGGGCGCAGGGGCTTGAGGAGGTTGCAGAGATAGGAGGGATGAGGGACTGGAGGGGGCTACCGAGATAGGGAGAGGTGTTAGGGCTGGAGGAGGTGACATAGATAGGGAGGTGTAGCGGAGTGTAAGGATTTGAAGATTTTTAATTTACCCCTGGCTGCTTTGTCATGTTGTCTTCATCCATTGACAGAAGGAATCTAGATTCTGAAAACAGAGGTAGCCTTTCAGCAGCGGGCTCATTACAGACATAAATTCACAAATATAATGATCAAACAGTAAACAGAGATTAGAGTTTATCAGTTACAGATGTAGGTTTCATACATTTATACTCCAGCTGTATGCACTGCAGAAATTCATCAAAGACCCTCAGACAGCACCTTCCAAACCCACTTCCATCCAGAAGGACAAGGGCAGCAGATTCATGGGAACACCACCTCCCGCAAGATCCCCTCTAAGTCACTCACCATCCTGACTTGGAAATATACATCGCCATTCCTTCATTGTTGTCAGGTTAAAATTTTGGCATTCCCTTCCTAAGGGCATTGTGAATTTTCCTGTGCCCTATGGACTGCATAAGGAAGGCAACTCATCACCACCCAGGAACAGGGATTGGGCTAGTCGACAACATTCACATTTCATCAATGAATAAATTATATTGACCAGAGCTTACTTCTCACTCGCCCCCAGGCAGTTATGTGGCTTGAAGATCATGCAATATGAATAGAATATTTTCGATAATCCAATATCCTGCAGCTTCTACATCAGTTAGGGGAGGCGATGGCCTAGTGGTATTATTGCTGGATTATTAATCCAGAGACTCAAACAATGTTCTGGGGACCTGGGTTCAAATCCTGCCATGGCAGATGGTAGAATTTGCATTCCACTAAAAATCGGGAATTAAGAGTTTAATGATGAACATGGATCCATTGTCAACTGTCAAGGAAAAACACATCTGGTTCATTAATGTCCTTTAGGGAAGGAAACTGCCATCCTTACCTGGTCTGGCCTACATGTGACTCCAGACCCACACCAATGAGGTTGACTCTTAACTACCTTCTGGGCAATTAGGGATGGGCAATAAATGCTGCCTAGCCAGCAATGCCCTCATCCCATAAATGATTAAAGGAAAAAAAAGTTCAGCAAACATAAATTTTTATAAAACTCCACCCACAGACAAGGTCCTTGAGGAATCTAAATGAAGCAGGAAGAACTTCAACAAGGAATTAGGAGGGCCACTTGGGACCATGAAAGGTCCTTGGCAAGTAGGATTAAGGAGAAAACACAAGCAATTTATATGTATATTAGGAATGAAACAGTAGCTAGGGAAAGAGAGGTCCACTCAAGGACAAAGGGGGAAATATATGCCAGAGCCAGAGGAAGTGGGTGAGGTCCTTAATGAGCACTTTGCATCAGTATTCACCAAGGAGAAGGACATGGATATTGGTTAGACTAGGGAAAGCTGTGTTGATATTCTTCAAAAACATAACTAAGTCCCCAGGGCCTAATTTGATCTATCCCAAGATATGGAAGGAGGCAAGGGAGATGATTGCTGGAGCTTTGACAGAGATCTTTGTATCCTCTTTAGCCACAGGTAAAGTCCAAGAAGGCTGGAGAATAGTCAATGTCGTTCCTTTGTTTAAGAAGGGCAACAGAGATAATCCGGGAAATTATAGGCCGGTGAGCCTTACATCAGTAGTAGGGAAATAATTGGAGCAGATTCTTAGGGACAGGATTTACTCACACTTGGAAAAGAATGGACTTATTGGTGACAGTCAGCATGGCTTTGTGCAGGGATGGTCTCGTCTCACAAACTTGATTGAGTTTTTTACGGAAGTGATGAAGGTGATTGTTGAGAGGAGGCCAGTGGATGTTAGATTTTACTAATGCTGAAAACGACAAATGCTGGAGATCACAGCAGGACAGACAGCATCCATGGACAGAGAGCAAGCTAACGTTTCGAGTCGAGATTACTCTTCATCAGAGCTGAGGTGAAGTGTGGAAGGGACAGCATTTATGCTATAGTTTGGGCAGAGAGGGTTGTGGAGGTAATGGGTGTAGAGTGCCGGTGTAGAAAAGATGTTAATAGTTCAGATTAAGTGGTCGGAATGTGCGAATGGCAGAATAATGTCTTGTCTCCTGCCAGAATTGACAGTCGTACTGGTATGGGGGGAGCAGGGGAGAGACGACATGATAACAGAATGGAACAAGCTAAACTTTACTGCGGACAATAGGCTTTTACAACAACTTACAATCATGGCAATTGGTGATGCATTCATAGTCATATGCCATTGGCAATGGCTTAGCACTATTATCATTAGACTATTACTTCAGAGACCCAGGTCATGTTCAGGGGATTTGAGTTCAAAACTGAACCATGGAAGATGGTGGAATTTGAATTCAATGAAAATTGGGAGTTAAGGGTCTAATGAGGAAAACCATGACTTATTGTTTGTAAAAACGCACCGAGGTCACTTTCTTTAGGATCTGGACTACATGTGACTCCAGACACACTTTTTTTCCTATTCATTTCTGGGATGTAGGCATTGCTGGCTGGACAGCATTTCTTGCCCGTCCCTAGTTGCCCTTGAGAAGGTGGTGGTGAGCTGCCTTCTTGAACTGCTGCAGTCCTCCTGCTGTGGGTTGACCCACAATGTTATTAGGGAGGGAATTCCAGGATTTTGACCCAGTGACAGGGAAGGAATAGCAATATATTTCCAAGTCAGGATGGTGACTGACTTGGAGGGGCACTTGGAGGTGGTGGTGTTCCCATGTATCTGATGCCCTTGTCCTTCTAGATGGAAGTGGTCGTGGGTTTGGAAGGTGTTGTCTGAGGATATTTGGTGAATTTCTGCAGTGCATCTTGTAGATAGTACAGACTGCTGCTACTGACAATAGGTGGTGGAGGGAGTGGATGTTTGTGGATGTGGTGCCAATCAAGCGGGCTGCTTTGTCCTGGATGGTGTCAAGCTTCTTGAGTGTTGTTGGGGCTGCACTCATCCAGGCAAGTGGGGAGTATTCCATCACAGTCCTGACTTGTGCCTTATAGATAGCGGACAGGCTTTGGGGAGTCAGGAGGTGAGCTACTCGCCGCAGTATTCCTAGCCTCTGGCCTGCTCTTGTAGCCACTCTGTTAATGCGATAAGTCCAGTTGAGTTTCTGGTCAATGGTAACACCCAGAATGTTGATAGTGGGAGATTCAGTGATGGTAACACCATTGAATGTCAAGGGATGGTGGTTAGCTTGTCTCTTATTGGTGATGGTCATAGCCTGGCATTTGTGTGACGCAAATGTCACTTGCCACTTGTCAGCCCAAGCCTGGATATTGTCCAGATCTTGTTACATGTGAACATGGACTGCTTCAGTATTGAGGAGTCGTGAATGGTGCTGAACATTGTGCAATTATCGGCGAACATCCCCACTTGATGAAGCAGCTGAAGATGGTTGGGCCGAGGACACTACCTTGAGGAACTCCTGCAGAGATGTCCTGGAGCTGAGATTATTGACTTCCAACAACCACGACCATCTTCCTATGTGTCAGGTATGACTCCAAACACCGGAGAGTTTTCCCCCTGATACCCATTGATTCCAGTTTTGCTAGGGCTCCTTGATGCCACACTCGGTCGAATGCAGCCTTGATATCAAGGGCTGTCACTCTCACCTCACCTCTGGAATTCAGCTCTTTTGTCCATGTTTGAACCAAGGCTGTAATGAGGTCAGGAGCTGAGTGGCCCTGGCTGAACCCAAACTGGGCGTCACTGAGCAGGTTATTGCTGAGCAGGTGCTGCTTGATAGCGCTGTTACTGACACCTTCCATCACTTTACTGATGATCGAGAGGAGACTGATGGGGCGGTAATTGGCCAGGTTGGACTTGTCCTGCTTTTTGTGTACAGGACATACTTGGGCAATTTTTCACATTGTCGGGTAGATACCAGTGTTGTAACTGTACTGGAACAGCTTGGCTAGGGGAGCGGCAAGTTCTGGAGCACAAGTCTTCAGTACTATTGCCGGAATGTCGTCAGGGCCCGTAGCCTTTGCAATATTCAGTGTCTCCAACTGTTTCTTGATATCACGTGGAATGAATTGAATTGGCTGAAGACTGGTATCTGTGATGCTGGGGACCACTGGAGGAGGCCGAGATGGATCATCCACTTGGCACTTCTGACTGAAGATTGCTGCAAATGTTTCAGCCTTATCTTTTGCACTGATGTGCTGGGCTCTTCCTTCGTTGGGGATGGGGATATTTGTGGGGCCTTCTCCTCCAGTGAGTTGTTTAATTGTCCACCACCATTCACAACTGGCTGTGGCAGGACTGCAGAGCTTAGATCTGATCCGTTCGTTGTGGGATCACTTAGCTCAGTCTATCTCTTGCTGCTTATGCAGTTTAGTGTGCAAGTAGTCCTGTTTAGTGGCTTCACCAGGTTGGTACCTCATCTTCAGGTATGCCTGGTGCTGCTCCTGGCATGCCCTCCTGCACTCTCCATTGAACCAGGGTTGATTCCCTGGCTTGATGGTAATGGTCGAGTGGGGTTACGCTAGGCCATGAGGTTACAGATTGTGCTGGAGTACAATTCTGCTGCTGTTGATGGCCCACAGCACCTCATGGATGACCATCCTTGAGTTGCTAGATCGGTGCAAAGTCTGTCCTATTTAGCACGGTGATAGTGCCACACAACACGATGGAGGTTGTTCCCAATGTGAAGGTGGGACTTCGTCTCCATGAGGACTGTGTAATGGTCACTCTTACTGATACTGTCATGGACAGATGCCACTGCATCTGGCAGATTGGTAAGGACGAGGTCAAGTATGTTTTTCCCTCTTGTTGGTTCCCTCACCACCTGCCGCTGACCCAGTCTCGCAGCTATGTAGTCGACTCTCTGCTGCCATATGAAATGGCCCTGCAAGCTGCTACACTGTAACAACAACTAGAAAGGAAAAAGGAATGAAAACAGAGGGCTCTGGTGGACTGCAGCGGTTTAAGGAGGCAACTCACTAGCACCTTTTCCAGTGCAACTAGGGACAGGGAGGAAATGCTGGCCCAGCCAGTAACACCCACATCCCATGACTGAATAATGAAAAAAAAGTACTCGCGTTTGAGCTCTGAGGAAGGGTCACTGGACCCGAAATTTTAATTCTGATTTTTTTCTTCACAGATGCTCCTAGACCTGCTGAGCTTTTCCAGCAACTTCCCGTTTTGTTCCATTTGGGATTTATCAATTAAATTGAACTCCCTGACTTGCTAGGGTAGGATTTGAAACCACACCCCCAGGGCAATAGCCAGTCTGGTGACAGTACCACTGTGTCAAAGTCATAAAGAAAATAGTTGGGGGTAACTAATGACCAGAAGCATGAATATGGCATTGGAGATATTTTCAGGTCTAATTTCAGGGTTGAAAAATCTCAGCTTGGTTCAATGAAGTCTTTTCAACTAGACATAGCCTGACCCTAACCCTAACCATAACCTTAACCTTAACCCTAACACTATCCCTAATCCTAGATCTGTCACAGTCAAATTTTTAAATACAAAATGCAAACCTCCAAAGTCAGCAACCACTGCATGACCATCTTCATACAGTAGGATGTTATGGCTGTTCGACACAAGAGAAAAGACAAACATTATTTTCTGTATAGATTGTTAAGTAAGAAACATCAGTCTGATAGATATAGCATCTCAGTACCCCATAAATAAATTTATCTTACCTACATTTAACCTATTAAACCCATTCCTAATTTTAAAAATCTCAATCAGGTCATCCTGGGCTTTCTCTTTTCTAGAAGTGTCATTTTTGGTAATTATAATTCCTCAATTCTGATGTCACCCTTGTCAGACCCCTTTACCCTCTTTTGTGCTTCTCTATCTTGCTTATAATATGGAGACTCAAAATGTTCATTCTTACATCATGTGGGTTGATATTACATTATAAGACCATAGGACAATAAGGATTTGGAACATAAATAGGCCATTCAGCCCATCCAGTCTGCTCTGCAATAAGATGAAGGCTGATCTGATAATCCTCAACTCCACTTTCCTGCCTTTTCCCCATAATCCTTGCTTTCCTTATTGATTAAAAATCAAGGGGATTTGAATGGGAGTCCCCCAATTTTTAAACTGCTCCCCCTCTGCACCCTGATCCTTCTGTTCCATTTCTCCAATTAGGCTCCTACCTTCTAAGTAGTTTGTGACCTCATATTCTTCCTGCTCATGTGCACCAGCTCACAATTATTGACACTGAAATTCATTCATCAATTAGACACCCATTCTGCAAGCTTATTTTTACCACCATTGATAAGTGGAACAATTTCAGACTTTGAAAATAAGGCCGAGGGAATGGTTTAAGCGATCCCGGTGCAGGTGTAGCACTCTCCCCAGGCCCATAGGCCTAGCTTATCGTACCTGTTGAGATCTCGGTGTATGATTGGTTGAATCAGATTGTGAAGATATTCCATTCCTTTGGCCACATCAATGGCGATGATTAATTTGGATTGCAGATCGATGATTCTGTGAATTCAAATAGGAACTTAACAAAGGAGACTGGTAGATGTCTTCAACTTTCCAAGATGCTTTACAGAAATGCAATCAGTCAAAGGGTCGACATTTAAGGAGGCACATGAGAATTGACCAAAAGCTCAATCAAAAAGGGCAGCTGTAAGAGTGTCTCAAAGAAGGAGAACGAGAGGTGGAGGAGTGGAGACGTTTACAGAATTATTACGGCACAGAATGAGACCAATCGTCCCACTGTGCCTGCTCCAATGCCAGTCTCCTGCTTTCTCCCCACATCCCTGCACGCCATTCCTATTAAAAAATACAGCCAATTCCCTCTTGAATGTCTCAATTGAACCTGCCTCCACCATATTTCCAGGTAATGCGTTTCATACCTTACAGAGTGAACTGCAAAGCTTAGGGCCTGGATAGATGCAGCACAGCTGTCAACGGTAGAGAGATGAAGATCTGGCATATGTAAGAAGCCAGAATGGGAGAGGCCCCGGATCTCAAACTGATAGAAAGCTGGGGGAAATTGGGAAGAAGGGGAGGGGTGAGGAGAAGGAAGGATTTGAAAGCTAGAATGAACATTTTAAAATTGAACTGAACTGACAGCCAATGTAGATCACTGAGTACAATAGTAATGTTTGAACAGGGCTCAAAGCAAGTTAGGGTATTTTCAGAATTTCAGATTGTGTTTTGAGGTTTATGGAGGTTGAAAGATTAGAGATAGACCATGAGAGCACTGGATTAAAAGCAGAAATTCCTGGAGAAACTCAACAGGTCTGGCAGCATCTGTGGAGAGAAAGCAGAGTCAATGTTTTGGGTTCAGTGACCCCTTCTTCAGAATTCCTTCAGTTAATTCTGCTTTCTCTCCATAGATACTGCCAGACTTGCTAAGTTTCTCCAGCAATTTCCGTTTTTGTTTCAGATTTCCAGCATTTTGTTTTTTGTGAGACTATTTGAATGATTAATTGTGGAAGTAAGAAAGGTGAGCATCTCAACAGCAGTGAAAACATCAAACATTTGGCTCAAAAAATGAGCAATAACAACAAAAAGCTGCAAGGCATTGGGCAGGGTCTTCAGGCTCAATCGTGATGGGCACAGAGGTGGGTAATGATTAAAAATAAAGTTTCCTTGGCTTCATCCCACCTCAACACCAAACAATTTCCGACATGAGGTGTAGCAGAACAATCTGTCCACAGACAACAGGCAGCCAAGTGAACCAACTGAAGGTCTATTTTCCAGCTTTGCTCTAGTTCCCCCTCCAGTTAGTCCTCCTGGGGGGAGTCCAGTTGTCCGTTGCTGGGGGAGGCCAGCGCACCAGGGCAGAGGCTGGTGGGAAGTGTTCTAAAGCTGCCAGGAAAATATTGCCTCTGATAGTGAAAGCTCAAGGCATCCTTGGTTTTGTAAATAGAAAGATTAAACCTGAAAGCAATATGTCACACTAAACATTTAATATTCATTAATTCATCCCCCATTGTTTAGGTTCATTCATGGAATGGCGGCATTGCTGGATAGGCCAGCATTTATTGGCTGTCCTCAATTTCCCTGAGAAAAGAGCTTTGTGCCCAATTCTGAGCACATTAAAAGGATATCAAGAACATGGACAAGGTGCAGAGGAGATTTACCAGAATGGGAACAGAGTTGAGGCATGTTAGTTACATGGAGAGATTGGAGAAACTCAGTCCTCCTTGGAGTGTGGGAGACTGAGGGAAGATCCAAAATAGATTGTTGAAAGTAGTGATGTGTTTTGAAAGACTAAACAAACAGAAACTATTTTCCATGTGTCTCATGGATGCTGCTCTTTGAGAGATGCTTTGAAATATCTCCTCAAATTTGAAGTGAAAGATGAGACTGGAAAGGATGAATGAATACAGAGATTGTGGATTCATTGGTTGTAATTTCCCAAAAATTCCTGAATTCTGGATAAATACTGGAGGATTGAAAAACTGCAATGTGACACTTCTATTCAAAAAGGGAGGGGGGTAAAAAGTGGGTAACTATGGGCTGATTAGCCAAACATCTATTGTTGGTAAAGTATTGGAATCAATTATTAAGGAAGTAATAACATTTGGATAATCCTAATCAAATCAAGCAGAGTCAGCATGGCTTCATGAAAGGGACATCATGTCTGATTAATTTATTTGAGTTTTTTGAGGAAGTCTCAACCAGAGTGAATAGAGGGGAACCAGTAGATGTGTTGTATTTGGACTTTCAGAAGGCATTCAACAAAGTTCAAACAAAGCACACGGGTGCAGCAGAGAATCAGGAAGGCTAATGGAACGTTGGATCAGAGATAGTAGGAACTGCAGATGCTGGAGAATCCGAGACAACAAGGTGCAGGGCTGGATGAACACAGCAGGCCAAGCAGCATCATAGGAGCAGAGAGGCTGACGTTTCGGGC